GCCCGCGCCTTAAACCAAAACCCTCCAAAAAAAAAAAAAATATATATATAAAGATAAAAGTCCATCTGGATTTCTGCCGCTCCACCGCACCGTGAACACAAGTGCAAGCGTGCTGAGTACTTTTGTGCATGGGGACAGACCCAAGTACACAGGGCAAATTCCCGTCTTCACAGGAGCCAGACCGCTGGGCTCACGGTTCCACACTTGCTTTTTTTTTTTCCACTTCACAAAGTAACTCAATGACTTTCCTGGTCGGCCCAGGTAGAATGGCCTCCTTTTCAACGGCAGCTTCAGATAGATATGGATAAAGATATGGGTAAAGATACAGCTGTAGATATAGCTGGATATATAGATCCGTATGTAACTAGAGCGTGCAAGTGCGCGTGTGCAAGGGCTTACCAGAGAGAGCCAGAGAGTGAGAGGGGAAGGCACCCCCCAAGGGGAATGCTGATGCTGCAGTCCCTTCCCCTCCACCTCTCCCTCCTGTTGGAATCTGGGGCACACTCATGTACCCAGTTTGTTTCTTAAGCTGCCAGGGCCAGGATTCAAACCATGATCAGCCATGTGGAATCCAGCTGCCTTAACCACCGGGCCATGGAGCCCCTCTCACAGGTTGCTCTTGGTTGCGCCAGGACCTGTCTTATCAACACGATACTGGGGGACATACTGCTAGTCTCCAGGACCTCACTAGCTCAGAGAACCCAGCAATGAAGAGTCTCGTTTCTATTAAGCTCCTTATTTATTTTATTTTTTTAAAAAAGTCTCTTTCCTTTCATGAGCAAGAGAGACAAAGGGAGAGAGACAGAAAGACGACACCCCCCAGCAAGGTCTTGCTGTCACCCTCCACCCCCACCCTCAGCCAGTTCTGGGTCATGGGCACGCTCATGCCTGCTGTATGCAGGGAGGTCTCTGGACACAAACCCGGAACCGTCCCCCTGTCAGAGCGCAGCGTCCCGAGCCACCGTCCAGCGTCTTCCTCCCATGTCCTCCAGCAAGCCTCACTTTCATGACTGTAAGGCCCACCTGTGTATCTCCTTCTGCCCCTCAGAGGCGGAGAGACTTCCTCCAGATGGTCCTGGATGCCCGACACTGTGCCAGCCCGGTGGGTCTGGAGAGCTTCGACATCGTCAGGGAGATCTTCTCCTCTGCCAGATGCTCAGTGGCTCCTTCCCAGCAGCGCCGGCCCCGAGCCCTGTCCACGCCTCTGACTGCGGATGAGATCGTGGGCCAGGCCTTCCTCTTCCTCATCGCCGGCTACGAGATCGTCACCAACACACTGTCCTTTGCTACCTACCTTCTGGCCACCCACCCTGACTGCCAAGAGAAGCTCCTGAGAGAGGTGGACCTGTTCAAGGAGAAGCACGTGAGTACAAGTGGGGCCCTGTCGTCCCCGGGCTGCCCACACGGCCACTGGCTTGGTGTTCATGGAAATGAAACTTGTATTCAATAACTAAAGTCACATTCTGAGTTTATAGGCTGACATTGAGGCAATGCCTGCTTCTCGCTCTGTCTGGGTTAGCTGGGAAAAGAGAGGGCCCGGAATAGAATTCAAAACTCGTGTGGTGTGTGCCCACCTACTGTGTGGGCCAGATCATGAGATTGGCCTGGCTCTGGGAAGCTGCAGCATCCCAGGAAGGAATCAGGTCAAAGGGCAGGGGCTGGGGCCCAGCAGGTGGTGAGGTAGTTAAGGTGCTGGACTCCCACATGGCCAACTGCAGTTCGAATCCTGGATCCAGTGGCTTGAAACTCATGCTGGGCATGTGTGTATGCATGCCCAAAGTTTCAAGAGGAGAATGGAGGAGAAAGGATCGTGGTGTGGCCATTCTCCCTGTGGGGGTGATTTCTCGCTTTCCCTCTCACTGTCTCTCTCTGGTGAGCGCATGTGCCCTATGACAAAAACCTAAGGAAGGGGGGAAGGGCAGGGACTGGGAAGGAGGTGAGGCTTTCAAAGCTCTGCCTGTAAAGGGAGGGAGGAGTGTGAGCCTGGACATGCAGCCAGGACGGAAGCAGTAGTCAACACAGAAATGAAAACCAGGCTGTGAGCCGAGGAGGAGGACAATCGATAGGATGAGGGGGAAAGCGCGAGTGCCGAGAAGGCTCTGGGCCTTCCTTGGAGATGAGCCCCTGGTGGACCCGCCGGAAACTGACAGGTGCTGAGCGAGTTCTGGGTGCTTTTGTGGGCATTTCTTAGCCTTGTTGGTTGTTTAAGAGAATCACCTAAAAAATCTATGTCTTAAAGACCCCCTCCCCCGGGGCCAGCAGGTGGCATGGTGGTTAAGGACACTGGACTCCCACATGGCTGACCTCGGTTTGAGTCCCAGATCTGACAGCTTGCTCTCTCTCTCTCTCTATCTGTATGTGTGTGTTCCTCTCTGGTCAAACTAGAATGAATAAATAAATAAACAAACAAATAAAGCTAAATAAAATAATTCTTTAAAAAAATAAAAAAGACCTTCCTCTTGGGGCCAGCAGGTGGTGGTGAAGGCACTGGTAGTGGTTAAGGCGCTGGACTCCCACATGGCCAACTACGGCTCAAATGATGGACCTGACCTGGTGGCTTGAAACTCACGCTGCGTGCATGCGTGCCCCAAATCCCAAGAGGAGAGTGGAGGAGAAGGGATTGTTGCATAGCCGTCTCCCCAGGGGGTAATTTCTTGCTTTCTATCTCTCTGGCAAGTGCATGCACCCTATAGTAAAAAATTTCTCTCTTAAAAAAAAAAAAAAGACCATGGGGCCAGTAGATAGATGGTGTAGCAATATATCTCTGGAATCCCACATGGCCGACCATGGTTCAAGTCCCAGATCTGGTAGCTTGAAACTCATGCCAGGTACATGTGCATCATGCCCAAGATTCTGACGGAGAATGGAGGAGAAAGGATTGTAGTCTGACCATCCCCTCGGGAAGTAATTTCTCACTTTCCCTCTCACCTCTCTCTCTCTTCCCCCGCTCAGCTAGCGCACATGCCCTAAGGCAAAAACCTCTAAAAAAAAAAAAATTAAAAAATGAAGACCCTCCAGGACTGGCCCTGTAGCATAGTGGCGAAGTGCTTTGCATATGGAGCCAGATCTCACATGGCTGACTGTGATTTGATTCCCAGCCCTGGCAGCTCAACAACCATGCCAGGCATGTGTGTGTGTTCCCCAAACCCTGGCAGGATGGAGACATGGAGAGGGATTGAAGAAGAAGCGAAAGCGCTGGGAGGTGCTTTCTCTTTCTTTCTATGGGAAGCACACATATGCACCTTCAGGCCATTAAAATAATAGACTTTATTTTAAAGATAGAAATAAAAGGGAGACCATTGTGAAACCCTTTCTACCTAGTCCGATGTGGGTATTATTACCTTTACAATTCTAGAAGGCAATCTGTTCTGTTATTGGAACCACTAGAAAATTCTTTATACAATGGGATGAAAACAGCTTCTCAGAGAATTCCACAGCTTTCTCCCACTAGAGAAGCAGAGGCAAGTTTAGTCTTTCTCTCCCACAGCAGTTTTTAAATACTTGAAAATGCATTAACTGTGTTACTAATTGCTTCCACTCGCGGCTCAGCGCACGCTTATGGTCAGCTTGGAGTTCTAGGTCGTTATGACAACTGCTAAGCTGGGTCTCCCCAGAACCCAGCGTCTACAACTGACTTTCTGAGCCTCCATGCAAGAGTTTATATTTATCCTTATTACTGTTCAAGTCAGTCAAAATAATTTTGAATCTTGCTTCTGCCATCTGTCATATTAGCAATTCCTCCAGCTTTGTGTCATCTGAGACTTGCCAAGCATGCGTCCGATTTCATCCAAGCCATTGATTAAAATGTTGAACAGGCGGGGGCCCCCCTCCAGATTGACATCGATCCATTAATCAATATTCTTTGGGCACGGAGTCTCAGCCAGCCATGAATCCAAAACACCGTACCACCATCTTATCTTGTTTTATAGGTCGTTGTTTAGTTGTCTGTAAATTGAAGAGCGGGGAGGAGGAGGGGCCACGGATAACTGGGGTACGTTAGTGCAGGAGGAACAAGGGGAGCTGGAAAGCACCTCTGTTAGAATGCATTTGGTTGCAGGTAACCAAACCCCGACCCAAAGTGATTTAAGCAAACAAAATGAAACAACTCAAACAAACTCATCAGTTTGTATTTATGAGCACAAATAATTGACCAGCTCAGGAATAGACGCGGCTTCAGGTAACCCTTTAGCCAGGCCCAAAACCTGTGCTCAGGCCCCAGCTTCTCAGACGGGCCCCACTTCCAATCGCTTTGTCCTCTTGAAGCCCTGAGAAGTTTTCCAAGGTCTGGGATACACGCTTCCGTGCTGAGAACCAGTGGAGAGAGAGGGTCTGTGGCCTCAAATTCTCAGCCAAAGTCCTGAGGATCACTCTGATGGGACTGCTTAAGTCACTGCCAGTTCACGAACCAACTGTCACGGCCAGGGGAATGGGCACCAGCAGGCTGGTGCCAGTCAGACCCTGGCCCCGGGGTCAATTATACTCAAATCGCAAAACTGAGACCTCGGGAGGTGATTCCCTAGGGAAGCAGAGGGTGTGTCCCAGGGAAGCTCAGCTTCCCAGTCTCAAATACGCCGGGAGGCAGCTCAGATCAGGACACGAAAGTATCTAACCAGTGTCCATCGGTGTCGCAGATTTGCAGAGGTTTGGAGAGGGGCAGAAGCTCTAAGAGGTAGAAGCCATGGTCCTTACCTGAGGGAATTTAATTGCCAGTTGAGAAATAGTAACTTATGTCTCCTGAACAATATCTACCTTCCAGAGAAAACCCTCCAGGGCAACAAAGGCAGCAAATAGGCCAAGCTAGACGGCATGGTGTCCCGCGGAGGACAAGGCCCTAAGGGTCTGTCTCGCGGCTTCAACCACAGGCGTGTCTGGTTCTGTTCCTCTACCAGGAGGTGCAGTGACACTTCTGCACAGCGGCCCCTAGGCCACGCCCCTTACGACTGGAAGGCCTTAACTCGCCACGGCCTCAAGGAGGGTGATGCTGTCTCGGCAGTCCCCCCAGCCTGGGGTCAGGGCTCTGTCTCCCACGGGACTGTGTGGAATGTCACAAGGCACTGAGACCTCCATTACAGCGACACGAGTGTACCTAAAACCATCTGGGAAGTTTATGGACAATGCAAATTCTAGGCCCTTGTCCCCAGAGGTTCTGATTCCCTAAGTCTGGGCCAGAGCCCAAGAACCTGACTTTTTAATAAACATCCCTGATGATTCTGAAACAGGTACGACCGGTTCTACTTCAAAAGGACATCTTTAGACACTCAGGGCTCATATTCTTCTCCCAAGAAAACATGGAGTCCGAAGCCGCACCCCGACTGTGTGTGCCCGCGAGGTCATCTTCTTTGTCTGGATAACAGTTGGGATGCACCCTGAGAAATGGGAACCCCTCGTGGCTGCGTTTCCTAAAGCATAAATTTGGTAGTCATCATAGCATTGCTGCAGATGGTACCCCTCAACAAATATTTGTAGGTTTCCTTATTTTCCCTTTCTTTCTTCTTCTTCTCTCTCTCTCTCTCTTTTACTATAATCAGAGCTCTGTTAACATGGGCCATCTGTCAGGACAAGGAAATGCAGATTAGATGTTCACACATTAGATATTTTCCTGAAAATATTCCTGAAAATTTGCATGTAAAGTACGACTTCTTACAATTTTCCTGCTGGTTTTCATTCAACAAATATTTCTCGAGTGCCAGTTAACGCCAGACTCCGGGGCTGCAGCCCCTCCACACAAGGCTGTTTCGGTCTCGCTCCTCCGCGACGTCCCTGTGGAGCACCCACACGCCTCCTCAGATGGCAACGAGACTAATTTAAGCTTTGGAGAGTCATCTTCCCAAGCCATCCCTGCGACAGCAATGCCCTGTGGGAACCTGAAGAGAACTGCATCCCTACCCCCGAGTAAAGAGGGGACACGTGCTCTGTGGTTCACTATGACTGTGGACTGTGACAGAGAAGCCAGGCAGCTTGGCTCCAGAGCCTTATGGCCCTAAATCTGAAAGCACCAGAGGGTAGATGCGCCTTCAGGTACGGCTTGACACAGGGGCTTGGCCCTCGCTGGAACCAGTTGTTCTCTCCTGGTCTCAGCTCCAGTTGGTCGGAGCATGCTCCACTCTGGGCACGCTCTCCGAGCTCTGAGACAGCCATGTGACAGGGGACAAGCGATCTGAGTTCAATGAGGTACAGACCTAGCCCAGTGATTTTCTTTCAGCTGCTCTGATGAATCTCCTTTGCCTTTCCTTGGTGATGCCTCAGACAGATCTGAGGTTACTGGTCACGTCGAGGCTTTGAGAAGTCCAGATGAAACTTCAGCCTCAGAGCTGATGTAATGTCCTTCTATGCCCTCGGCTTAGGTGACCTGAGCCGGAAGCT